TTTTTTTTCCATTCAGAAATTGCACGTACATTTTGCAAATAATTACAAAAAAATGGCAAGTAACACGTTGAATTAAACATGAAATTGTGAAGACATTGTAAAACGGTCCAGTAATCTTTGTTTCATTATAACTTCGAAATAATATTTTTTTAAATTGTACTAATAAATAAACAATTAGTGTACTTATTATCATGCAGACAACAGTGTCAATAAGGAGCTGCTTGAATGAAATGTGAGACATGTTATGTGTGTCACAGTGTTTTTATTGAGCATCATTTCTAATGAAAGTGTGAAAATGTTATTTATTTGTGTGCATTTAGGATGCATAAAATGCTGGTTATGAGCTTCAGCGAGAAAAAGGAGTCTGTAATTTTATTCCAAAATTGGTTATTTCTATCTCTTTAAATTGTCATAAATTGTCCATAAATTTTAATTTTGCTAATAAATACAGTACGTCGTTTAAATAATTTAACATCAAATTGCATATGACACTGTGGTATATACAGTATATAATATGTAGTCATAAAATAATGACTAAACTAACCATGTATGTCTACACACTGTTGGATATTGTTAGTGCACACATGTAGTTAGAGAGTATGTTCTGGAAGAACTCTTGATTTCTTCAGTGTGTTTCTGTGTCTGATCCGGTCTCTCTGTCTCTCAGCGTCCCCGATGGTAAAGGTGCGAGTCCAGCATCCTCCAGAGGCCAGTGTGAAGATCCACCAGGTCTTAAAGGTGGGCTACGGCCCCACCGTCCACGAGCACTCAGAAACCGTGACCTGGTCCGCGGGGCTCTCAGGGGCCCGTCCTCACCAGCTGCCGGGAGAGAGAGCCGAGGCGGCGCCGCCGAGGGTTCAAGCCCAGACCATACGCGGGGATTCAGTCTACACCGAGACGTCCGGCTTCAAATATTGTTTCAGAGAAGTGCGCAACGGAAAGGTTAGCTTAAAGCTCTTCTGTCTGCATTCCTCATTCGTTTTAGCAGCGTCTGGTTCGGTTTCAGTAGGAACAGGACTCGAGCTTGTCTGGACTATGCTGGATGAATCGAGTATGACTTGTTTATTGTGACTCTGTCGTGTGATCGTACTGAACTTCAAATGTAGGTTAGCCAGTGTCGTGAAAACCACTTCCGTCTGCTGAAGTGTGTTCATCCAAGATTGTTTAGCCAGAGTACTCTTATTATAGCACAATTCCCCTGGAGCAACTTGGGGTTTAAGAGATTTGTCATTTGTTCAAATGCATGTTGCTGGAAATATGCATTTTTTTCTATGGAACACAATAGTAGTAATTCAACATAATGACAAGGCTGCTCTTTTCCATACAACAAACGGGGATGAAGACTAGAGACGGTCAAGCTCCCCAAAAGGAACAAAAAATTAGTACATCCCCCTTGTGATAAAGAAGTACACTTTACTTTTAAAAAGAGTACTTATGGAAATGATATACTTTACGAATATACTAAAAAGGCATTAACTATATTCAGTGTTTTCAGACATTTAATTGCATGTTATTTACAATTAAATAAAAATGTGTAGTTTAAATTTATATTAAATGCAAGAGGGCTTTTTTGACACTTAAGTAGTATATGTAATTTCATAATTACTTCTATTGTCTTTGAAATATGGTTAGTTAATGGTTAATGTACTGACAAGAATGTATGGTAAACTAAAATATACTTTAAATTCATTTTTAATGTGAATGTAAATGCGTGTGTAATGATGAAGTTGCAGATTAGAACATTTAAAATATATTAACTTTAAAATGTAATATCAAATAAAAGTTAAAAGTCACATGTGCTTTAGTATGTTAGTCAACACATCAAATTACTGTTTACGTCTTTAAAACACAACAAAAGATTATTAAAACAGTAATTTAAAAAGCTCTTTAAAGTAAAACTTTTAATTTGATATTATTACAAAGTGCACTTTTTTTTACAAAAAAATGTACTTAAGTGTGTTGAGTAACAGTCATGAAAGTGTCTGTTTTTGCACTTAAGTGGCATTTTATATTGTATTAATGTTATGGTTTCTGAAAGTATTTTTTTTTTTAATATGCTTTTAAGATTTAAAGTAAACAATACAAGTGCACATTCAGCACACTTCTTTTTCTCAAGAGACATGACTGCATAATAAAAGAAGTCAGTATGCAAAAGCATAATATGAGGAATAGATTGAAATTTAAAAGGATAGTTAACCAAAAAAAAAAAAAAAAGAAATCTGTCATACAATATTTGTAATAATTTCAATAAAAAAACATCTGATAGTAGCCATTGACTTGCATAGTATAGGGAAAAAATAGCATGGAAGTCAGTGGCTAAAGTCAACATGCTTTGAGCAGCATGAGTAAATTATGAAAAAGTTTTAGTTACACTTTATTTTGATTGTCCACTTTAGACAATCTACTAATACCAAGCAACTTTGTAACCAGTATTGGGTAAAATTACTTTAAAAGTAATGCATTACAATACTGCATTGCTCCCTAAAAGTAACTAATTGCATTACTTAGTTACTTTTTATGGAAAGTAATGTGTTACATTACTTTTGCGTTACTTTTCCTCATCTGGGCTGGGCTTGCTTGTTTGTTTGTTTTTAAAATTAAAAAGTTCTGTTTTTGGCAAAAGTAAAAGCCCTTTCACACCGAAAGTGAAATGAATAAGCCTCAGGTATTTTCTTGTAAATATAAAAGTAATGTGTTGCTTTACTAGTTACTTGAAAAATGTAATCTGAATACATGAGTATTGTAATGTAATGTGTTACCACCCCAACACTGTTTGCAACTGCATGTCATCTAGCAGTCATTAGAGTATTAGTGAGTGTCTGCTTAAAGGATAAGTTCCAGAATAAAATTGTCCTGATAATTTACTCACCCCCATGTCATCCAGGATTCAAATATTCCAGGACTTTTCTCCATATAGTGGACTTCAATGGTGGCCTACGATTTCAAGGTCAAATTGCAGTTTCAAAGTGAACATGCAAAAAAATGCCCTTTACAACAAAAGTTAAAACAATGATGTCAGATGATTTTAAAGTTGGAGGAGAAAATGAGATGGCGTTTTTCACCAAAGTACAAAGACAAAGAACTAACCGTACATGATCTTTCCAACAAGATTGCGTTATGTGTGAAGACGCACATCGCAGAGCTAGAGCAAGCCGAACATTTGTGGTTAAAAAGAGTATAAATATTATTTGTTTTCAGAAAATGACAGATCGTTTGGCTAGATAAGACCCTTATTCCTCGGCTGGGATCGTGTAGAGCTCTTTGAAGCTGCATTGATTTTGACGTTAAAATCGTTGGCCACCATTGAAGTCCACTATATGGAGAAAAGTCCTAGAATGTTTTCCTCTTTTAAAAAAAAATTATTTTTTTGCGACTGAAGAAAGAAAGACATGAACATCTTGGATGACATTGGATGATTTTTTTTTTTATCCTGGAAGTGGACTTATCCTTTAACTCTTCACTCCATGCCCAATTCAGTTGTTTGAGTGAATGGATAAGTGAAGGATTGTGTGTTTTCTGCTCCGCCCCACAGTGCAGTTCTCCGTTACCTGGTCTGAGGAGTCAGGAGATGTGCTGCAGGGGTGTTGGGAAGGCCTGGGGCATCAACGAATGCACGCTCTGTCCTGCAGTCTTAGGTGAGAGTCTGCACATGGAGTATGTCAGCACTGTCAGACAGGCCTGGAGGGTTACAACTATAAATCATCTGAGCGATTATAGCTGCACAGTTTGTACTTAGAGCACAAAGAGGCAACAAAACACCGGTTTGTTCCTTCTTAACTCATAAATTCACTGATATCAGTTCAGCTGGCTGGTAAAACACATGTCTATCTTGTAAAACAGAAAGTACAGCAGTCGCTGCGTGACTTCAGGAGATAAATATAGCTTTGAGAGTTCTCTGGCAGACGGCTCATTTAAGTCCTGTTACTATATTATTATTACAACAGTCAAGGTGTCGCCATTAGCCCTCCGTCAGCCGTCTGGCTAAACATTACAATGTATTTACATTCCTCATCCACTTGATGAATGCTGCAACCTTTAATAGAAACTGACTTCAGCACCCCTATCATTTATTAAATATAGTGACATGCAATGACATAATCCATGATTTTTTTTGACAAATTCATGCAGATACAAAACATGCAAAACATACAGTTTGTTATACTACTGTATATGGGGTAAGTTGTCACAATGGGATATGTGATATGCAAAAGCTTTATATGAGGAATAGATTACAATTTAAAGGGATAGTTTACCCAGAAATGATCTCAGGTTTTTTGAGATGTTAATGCAGATCAAAACATGCAGTCTTTATCATGCAGTTTTTTGTAACACTGTGGGGTAAGTTGTCACAATGAGAGTATACAGTATGCATAGCAAAATTAGCACATATAACAACAATTTAACTTATATATATATGGATATGTATATACAGTATATATACATTCATATAATTATGAAACACATTTCATGGAACAATTCATGGAACATAAATTAAAAAAAAAGATGCACAATTATCAAACTGTCTGTAATTGCAATTGTAAAATGGGAGTTAATAATTACATAAAAGTATACCAACTTTCCGCAATAAAAATGTGGCATCCTCCCTAGACCTGACATATTTTTTTTCTAATAGCTGTTGGATAAATAAGTAAATACAATAAATATGATGATATTGTAACTAGGGGAAAAAAATCACATTTAAGAGGGTTTTTATAGAGAAAAGCATTTATTAATAATGCAATTGATCAGTGCTATTTTAGTATTATTGATATAATATTATATTTTTGTTGATATGTTGGCCTAGATGGTTTTTTTTTACATTTTAATCTTAGTTCAAGTTTTAATAATTTTGTATTTTTGTCATTTTTCTTTTTTTTTAGTATGTCTATATAGGTTTTTATTGATTTTGTATTATTTTATTTATCAGTTTTAACTTATTTAGTTTCAGGTATCTTAGTACTTAAAGTTAAACAAAATGAAAATAAGAAATGTTGCCTTGGCAGATAAAAATAGAAATAAAACAAATGTTTTTGTGTTTAAAACAAGTTATTTTATGTTTTATTTTATTTTAGTTAATACGTTTGGGGACCAATTCTCACCATTAACTTACTATTAACTGTGACTTTAGCCTCAGTAAACTTCTTATTTTCATCTTATTAATAGTTAGTAAGATAGTTGTTAAGTTTAGTATAGTGCAGAATAAGCCATGTGCTTTATAAATACTAATAAACAGTCAATATGCTGGTAATATGCATGCTAATAAGCAACTAGTTGATAGTGAGATCTGGTCCCTAAACTAAAGTGTTACCAGATGTATTTCAAATCAAGAAAATGTGTTTTATGGTTTTAGTTTTAGTTAAAATCTCATAACCTTTTTGCTGTTGTTCTTAGTGCAGAGAAACATTTGCTAAGGATATATTTTCATAACTGCTAAGCGACCCTGAGTGGTTGATAATGTTAAGCACACGGTTATATAATCATTTTCCCCAATGCTGAATAATGACTGGAACAATAGAGCCGTCTGTTACACGCTTCGGGATCTCTGGCTCCCCAGAGCCACAAATATTTAACCTCACAGGGACAAATAGTTATTTCCCCTTTCTGTGAAGCACTCTTGAAAGTATGCCTGAACTGCTGGAAGACTTTGTTGTGAAACATGCTTTCCCTTGTGAAAAAGAAGTGTACTTAATTGTATTGAATGTGTACTTGGAGTGAACTTCAAATCTTAAAAGTATTTTTTTTTTAAACTGTACTTACAGATAATATGATATTAATGAAATAAAAGGCCACTTAAGTGACTTAATGAGACAGTCTTTTAAAAAGTGCACTTTGTAATAATGTCAAATTAAAGGTTTTCCTTTAAAGTACATTTTAAATCGTTTTAATAATCTTTTGTCATGTTTTAAGGAAGTATGCACTTGCTGACTAACATACTAAAGCACATGTGAAGTGTAATAATTGTACCTATAGTGTGTTATTTGATATCCCATTTAAAGTTAATGTATTTTAAATGTAATAAATTACAAGTGTGTAATTACACATATATTTAAATACATGACATACAAGTTTCAACAGAAATTACATTAAAGTGTTTTTAGTTTACTATAAATGCAGCACATTCAGCAGTAATTTGTACCAAAAAGTTATTTCAAATTGAAATGAAATTACATATAAAGATGTACTGAAGTCCTACTTAAGTGGGTCAGAAAACACTCTTAAGTTCAATTAAAATATAAATGCAAATTATATGTTCATGTAATTGTAAATACCATGCAATTAAGTGTCTGAAAACTTCACGTTCATTACATTGTAAAAGTGTACTTCTTTTTTCTCAAGGGTTGCCTTATAAATAAACTGTATTTAATGGTGAACTGTAAAGCTATACATTAAGTTATTTACAGTATATGCATGCACATAAGCTACATATTCTCACATGTAAGAACAAAGCCAGAATGTGGCTTTAATGAAATATAGTGTCGGGATGTTTTGTGCTATTGTATTTGTTTCAGCCTCCAGTCTTGCTGATGAATCATTTGTTAATTATCTGCATGTTTTTCCTCTTTCTCGGTTTGATTTTCCTTTTGCACGCATTATTAAACTAGCTGCAGTTTGACAGATGTGTCCGTACATCTTTCTAGAGATCGATGTGCTCTTATCTCATCAGGAAACACTGTTAATGGACAGGGAAGCTGCCCGAAAGGCTTCGAGAGGGTCAACGGGACGCAGTGTGTGGGTAAGAGTCCTCGCCCCGTCCTCCTGTGCTAGATTGATCCTAGCGTTCGCAGTGATCTCTCGCCGGCCAAAACACATTTTAGGAACATGCAAACAAACACTTTGTTCTTCCTTCCTTCCTCCAGAGGTCAGCCAAATACATCAGTCTCTAAAGATGGTTTAATGGTTGCTGCACACATCTAGTTTTGTGTAAATACTGAAACTGAAGCAGATGCTCTTCTCAGTCTCGCTCGTTGTGTAGTTCATGCTGCTTTAATGCTGTGGAGCCGATGTGATAAGTAGACATTTAATTGATCGTTTTACTCAAAGTGACTAACAAAGCACAATCCGCATTGAGAAGAGGGTTGAAGATTGCATTTATAACCCATTTTATTTCCATCACTTATTTTGTTTTCTCACATGGTAGTAATTATGACGGAATGAATCTTTCACAATTTGTCAGTATGTGTGAAATCCAGAGACCACCTTCCCCGGAGGAGAATCTACGGCATTGTTTTCTAATCTTTCTCCTGACCGTAACGGCAGACCAGACGGCTTGATAAACACACTGTAAAATCAATTTATCAAGACAGAGCTGGAGGTGGTCACAGGGTCAAATAATGACAACTTCAGATTTGTTACATATCTCTCTCTCCGCTACATTTCCTCTCCTGCTTCTTCAAACCACAGATTCATTCTGTCATTATGTAACATTAATGGTTCCTGTATTTGCTACATTTGAGGTAATAACATTGTACACCACAGTGCAAGGTATCCTTATGTAAGTACTGAAAAGTTTGTACATGCATGTACACGCTTCAAATTAAAAGTCCTCTATTGGCATTGATGGACAACCTTTAACATCCATGGAACCTTCCCACTGGACAAAAGGTGCTTTAAATTATTAAAATGTTCTTCACACTAAGAAAGTTCTTTTAAGAACTGTTCACTGAAATGTTCTTCAATGGTCCTTTTGGAAGCTTTATTTTTAAGAGTGCATCATGCGGAATCACGTTTTCTTGATCATTATTGTACTATATAAACATACTGTAACTTTCCGGAAAAAATATATTTTATTGAAAATCAAATTGAAAATTGGTTCACCTGTTTGTCTGGACGGGTGCTTCTTCACTCACAATCAGTCTCAGTTATCCATCCAAGTCTACTTAAGTGTGTTAAGAAGTGTGTTAAGCACACTACTTTTCCACAACATGAACAATTCAACTCGTCAGGTTATGACAGTCATGTTTCCTCCTCTGGTGTAGATATTAACGAGTGTTTGCAGCCGGGTTTCTGTGAAAACGGGAACTGTGTTAACACCCGAGGGAGCTACAGTTGTGTCTGCAAAGAGGGCTACTTATTGGACGCCTCTCATGGGATCTGCATCTGTAAGTACGGGGCTGTCGGACACCACGGCGTCACCTGAGAGGAGAGCGGCGGAGGGAATATGGCAGGACAGCCAAACCACACAGCTACAGCCTTCAGTCATACACAGACATAAAGAAATAATTCTTCCAAAAATGGAAATTTGCCAAAAATGTGCTCACCCTCAGGACGCCTCGTTTGCACTGTCAGTTAAATGTGACCCAATTCCGATTTTTTTGCTCGTATGTGACACAGATCGGATGTGCTCTATGACCATGTAAACAGGAAAAAAAATGCATGCATTCGGATATCTCGAGATGGGATTCAGGCCTCATTCATATGTGGACATAAATCTGATATAAATCAGATATGTGCCAACGCGTTTGTCCATTTTGGCTAGTGTGTGGTGCAAGAACCCCCCTTTAAGCATGCGCGATGTTTCAGATGGTATGGCAAGTGTAAACACATGAATCGAATATGGGTCACAATTGAAAGAACGTGAATTTGTTGCGGATATAGGCAACAAATCAGAATTGGGCATCAAGACCTGCAATGTAAACGAGGCCTAAGATTAATATGAGTTTGTTTCTTCATCAGATTTGGAGAAATGTAGCATTGCATCACTTGTTCACCAATGGATCCTCAGCAGTGAATGGGTGCCGTCAGAATGAGAGTCCAAACAGCTGATAAAAACATCACAATAATCCACACCACTCCAGTCCATCAGTTAACATCTGGAGAAGACAAAAGCTGAAACAAATCCATCTTTAAGACGTTTTTTAACTTTAAACCATTGCTTCTTGCCAAAATACGAATTTATAATCCATAATAACGCTTCCTGAATCAGTACGTGTACTGCGTTAGGCTAACCGAGACTTGTCATAGTACTTGCTTATTATCCTCTTTTGTTGGTTTTGATTGCTTCTATTGTCCTCATTTTTAAGTCTCTTTGAATAAAAGCGTCTGCTAAATGACTAAATGTAAATGTTTCTTACAAACATGCAGCTTTTGGCTTCTCCAGATGTGAACTGATGGACTGGAGTGGTGTGGATTACTGTGATGTTTTTATCAGCTGTTTGGACTCTCATTCTGACGGCACCCATTCACTGCAGAGCATCCATTGGTGAGCGAGTTGCATTTCTCCAAATCTGATGAAGAAACAAACTCAGTTGTATCTTGGATGGTCTGAGGTGAGCATTTTCAGGTACTATACCAAAGCATGAGTTTCAAATCCACACTACAAAGTGAACACAGATGAGTGGAGGTTTTTGGCTGTGTGGCGTTGTGCTTCTGTCTATTCCAGCAGGCATTACTGTGCTCTGCTTGAGAGATGCCTGATGAGTGGAGCTATACTTTTCCTTTTGTCCTGACTCTGCATATGCATCCCTACATCGAGGCCTGTCCTGACTGAGCGCTCAGTGTTTTCCTGTGTTTCCCCGTCGATTGGGAGCTGCCTCTTTCTGCCTGAGTTTTTGCATCTGGGAAATTCTGTGACTCTATTTTAATCAGATTTTCTTCTTGTCTGAATCTTGTCAAGCCTTCATGTGACTCTGAGCATTTTCATGTGTGTCAGTCAGGTAAGTGTAACTACGTCTCCTGCTGTGTCTGCTTCTGTATATGTGTGATTATGTGCATATTCCTGCAGTGATTTGGGCTGATCTGTATGTCATTTCCAGTGGCTCTGTGGATGATTATTGTATGCCTGGCTCTCCTTTAAACTTTGTTTGTGCTGCAAAACCAAATCAAAGCGCCAGGAGTGTAACGAATGACGTCAGTGTAAAATGAGTAGCAGAAATATTTATCACTTTAGAACTTTTTTAAGCTAGATTTGCGTAAGTATGACGTCAATAACAAACACAACCAACTTAAAGGAATAGTTCACCAAAAAATAAATCATGTACTCGTGTTGTTTCAAACCCGTATGATTGTCTTTCTTCTGTGGAACACAAACAGAGATGTTTTGCAGAATGTCCAAGCTGCTCTTTTTAGTGATTAATACTGCCAAGCTCCAAAAAAAAAAACACCATTAAAAGTTGTGCACTATATTGTAGGCCATACAATAACTTTGTGTAATGAGCAGGCCAAATTTTAAGATGTTTTTCACTAAAAACTTTCCCTCAGCACACTTTTATTTGTTTGTTTAAAAGTAAAATTTCAGTGAATGATGTCTTAAATTTTTAAACCTATAATGACCCTTGTGGGAAAAGAAGTGTTTAATTAGATTGAATTGATATAAAAAAAAAAAAGGTATTTGCAAAAAATATGAAAAAACACTTTCATGACTGTTTATTAACATACTTAAGTGCATTTTAAAAGGTTTAAAAATGCCAAATTAAAAGTTTTGCTGTCATGTACATTATAAATCATTGTTTTAATAATCTTTTTAAAAAAATGTACTTAAGTCCAATTAAATGGGTCGAAAAAGCACTTTTACTGTAAGTTCAAATACAACTGAAAAATATAATTGTCTTTATTCAAAATTCTTAATTTAAAATAAAAATAAAATAAAAACTATTTTAAATTATATGATTTTTTAATATATTTTGTATTATTTATAATTAAATTAAAATTGTATTAAATGTAAATGTGTATACACACAATTACATTTAATATAATTTTCCTTTGTAAATAACATGCAATGAAGTGTTTGTAAACATTACATTCAGTTCACACTTAAGTCTGTTCTTTTAAAGTATTATTGTTTCTGTAATAAGTACTCTTTTTAAAAAGTATGCTAAAATGTACTTCTTTTCCACAAGGGTATGGCTGGAGACTTAAGATTTAGAGTATGAGTTGTATAGACTGATTTTATTGATACCTTTATGGTTACTGTATGCTTTTATTGTATGGATAAGAGCAGCATGATCATTCCTCTAAACTCCTGCTTTTGTCTTCCACAAAAGAATGAAAGTCATACAGGTTTCAAACGACACGAGGGAGAGGAAATGATGACAGAATTGACATTTTTGAGTAAACTGTCCCTTTTTAAGACAGCAGTAAATATGAAGACTCATCTATATGCTTTCATGTTCATAAATGAATGCATTTGTACTTGCATGCACGATCTGTTGCATGTTGAGATTCGTGTCCCTACCTGTATCCCTATGTAATGTTATTTTATATTATTTCCCCCCTCGCAGCGCAGAAGGTGATCTCCTCGGAGAAGGACCAGTGTTTCCGTATCCTGAACCAGGGCTCCTGTTCTCTGCCCATCTTGAGGAACATCACCAAACAGATCTGCTGCTGCAGTCGAGTGGGCAAAGCCTGGGGGAAGAAGTGTGAGTTATGCCCGTACTTCGGCTCAGGTAAGAGGCCTTACAGACATTCAAAGAATGCACTTCTCCTTTCAAACAACTGCATTGGAATGAACATCTTTAATGCAGAAGTTGGGGCAAAGAGCGGTAAGAAGGCTGGAGGACAGCACTGAGAACATTACAGTGTGTTAATACAGAATATTGAAACAACATGATTTGGTTTTTGCACAAAGAGTCCAACTGTTCCTCAAGGACCTCGTCCCACCCACACCACCAGCAATATTTCTCAGAAAATGTTTGGAGGAATATCAAAGCAGTTGGAATTTACTGTGTAATTTGTCTTAGTTTAAATACCACAAGTTGAGGTTCTAGTGCTGTCCCGGTTGACCTTCAACGTTTCTGGCTCGATTAAAAAACAAAAATCAACTGTGTCCATTCCAGTGAATTATGTCTTAAATTTTGATTTCACACAAAGCTATTTCACCCTTGTGAACAAGTAGTGGGCTTTATTGTACTGGATGTGCACTTGTAGTGTTTTTAAAACTTTTAAAACACTGTACTTGCAGATAATATAATATTAAAGAAATAAAAGGCCATTGAAGTGACTTTAAAAAAGACACTGACTTTATTCCTCAACACACTTATGTACACTTTCGAAATGCACTTAGTAATAATGACAAATTATTTTATTTACTTTGAAGTACATTTAAAATTATCCTGTTTAATAACCGTTTGCCATGCTTTGAAGAAGTACACGTATTTCCATGCATTGACTAACATACTAAAACACATGTAAAGTACTTGATTAGAATTTTAACTGTAGTGTTATTTAATATTACATTTAAAGTAAAATATATTTTAAATGTAATAAATTGCAACTTCATCATTACAAATGTGTAATTACTACTTACAAATATAAATATTGCAAGTTTAAATAGAAATGGCTTTAACGTATGTAAATGTAAATAACAATTATAAATGTCCCTTATAAAAAAGAAGGTTGCTTAATTGTATTAAATGCACATTCTTCTTAAATCTTAAAAGTATCATTTTAAAAACTGTTCTTGCAGATATGATATTAGCGAAATAACTTAGGTGTGCTTAAAGAGAGATACTTTCATGAGACTCATTTGTTTCTTAACACACTTAAGTAGACTTTTAAAAAGTGCACATTTTTTTTACTTTAAAGTACATTTTAAACTGTTCATGTTTTTGTAATATTTTGTCATGCTTTAAAGAAGTGCACTTATTAAACGTGTTGACTAACATACTAAAGCACAGGTAAAGTGCATGGAATTTGCTGTTTAGTTTGTCTGTCTTTGTTTGAATAACACAAGTTGAAGTTCTCCTGTTGTCCCGGTTGAACTTGAAATTTCTGAAACAACACTTGTGACTCCATTAGACATTTACAGGTTTTCAGCATCTAACTCTATGTTCACAGCCGCCTTCAAAGAGATCTGTCCTGCTGGACCGGGTTACCATTATTCGGCTTCGCCTGTCAAGTTTAACCAGAGACTAGCAGAGTTGCTTGACACCGGCGGACCGCCTTTGGTGTCCGAAAATGTCCACACATCCACCCAGGACATAGCATCCCAACCTGAAGGCTCCAGGACTCACTCCACAATCTCACAGTCAACCCGAATCCAGCAAGCGCCATATTCACCGACCAACACGCAGACCATCCGAGTCCAGCAGAGTCCTGCGAGACCACAGCAACCTGACGCGGGTTCACAGGCCGGCTCGGTTATCATCATAACTCAACCAAAACCAAACCTGTCAACGAGCGGCGGCTCTCAAACCACAAACGCCAGACCTCAGCAGCCTTCCAGCATCCGTCCGTCCGCTCCCAGCCAGCCGGCCAGAGTGAACACACGTGAGCCGCAGCATTTCTCATTAGATTATTTATTAAAACTCGCTGGTGTACGTGTGTGTGTGTGTGTGATTCAGTCTGATTGTGTACAGCTGTTGTACGGACGCAAACCAGCCGGCCTTCGGTTAACAGACAGCCAGTATCTCCCGTCAGACCTCCTCCTGTACCGGCTACAGCCCGACCACTTCCAACTAGACAAGGTAAGCATCAGAGAGACTGGTGAAAATTAAGTATTAAAAGAATATGCTTAATTGTGAACTAAATGTAACATTTTCAGACTCTTAGATGCATGGTACTTACAATTAATGAAAATGTATTGTAGTTTAAATTTATACTAAATGCATTTTGACCCACTTAAGTGGGATTTAAATACATCTTTATCTTCTGGTTTCACAGACAAGTCTTAAGGATAGTCCTAGACTAAATGCATGTTTGAGCTGTTTCAACTAAAAATATCTTGCTCTGACATATCTTAAAATATGCTCAAGTGCTCAAGATGCACACCTGTAACATTTTCTTCCAAGGCATTTTTTTATAAAAGCTGCTTAAATATCTTAATTTAACTAAGGCCTAGTCCAGGCTTAAGCAAAGCCCTGTCTGTGAAAGCGGGCCTATATGTAATTTCATAATTAATGCTGTTGTTTTAAAATATATGGTTAAAGTTGACAAGCATACTGACAAGCATTCATGGTGAACTAAAATATACAGTACTTTAATGTCATTTCTATTGAAACTTGTATGTCATGTACTTAAATACATTTGTAATTGCACACTTGTAGAACTGAAGATGCAATTTAGTACATTTAAAATAGATTAACTTTAAATGTAATATCAAATACGTACATTATAATTAAGTGCTTAAATGTGCTTTAGTATGTTAGTCAACACATCTAAATAAGTGTACTTCTTTAAAGGATGACAAAAGATTATTAAATCATAATGATTTAAAATGTATTTTAAAATAACACTTTTAACTTGATATCATTACAAAAAGTGTAATTAAGTGTGTTAATAAACATAGTCATGAAAGTTTACATGTGACATATTTTAATTAGTGCTGTCAAATGATTAATTGCGATTAATCGCATCCAAAATAAAAGTTTTTGTTTACATAATATATGTGTGTGTACTGTGTATATTTATTTTGTATATATAAATACACACACATGCATGTATATATTTCAGAAAAATATGTTATTTTATATATTAAATATATTTATTTATAATATAAATTATATGAATATAAATATAGACATGTAAATACATGTAAATATTTTCAAAATATATACTGTATGTGTGTGTATTTATATATATACATAATAAATATACACATAACACACACATATATTATGCAAACAAAAACTTTTATTTTGGATGCGATTAATCACGATTAATCGTCTGACAGCACTAATTTTAATGTAATTTCTATAGAAACGTACATTTCAATATATCTGTAATTACATGTTTGTAATGATGAAGTTGCAATTTAGAACATTTAAAATATATTATCCTTAAATGTTAAAAAAAATGTATTAAATAACACACTACAGTTAAAATTGTGATTTAAAGTAAATCACAAGTACTTTACTTGTGCTTTAGTATGTTAGTCAACACATCAAAATAAGTGCATTTTAAAGCAAAACTAAATATTGAATGTAATAATTTAATATGTACTTTAAAGTACATCTTTTAATTTGACATTATTACAAAGTGCACTTTTTAATAGTCTACTTAAGAATCAGTCGTGAAAGTGTCACTCTTTAAGTGGCCTTTTATTTCATTAATATAATAGTATCTGAAAGTACAGTTTTGTAAAATATACTGAAGTTCACTACAAGTGTACATTCAGTACAATTAAGCACACTTCTTTTTCACAATAGGATGCTTGTGACTTGAAGGCCCTGTCCCAAAAAGTGCACTTGATGTGGACTTGAGTCCATGGAACTGTTGGACGTCCCATTTGTGATTTTATGATTCAGAAGGGTACTCACAAACGTTAACAGCTGTTAACAGCTAAAAAGAAAATGGGCTGTTTATGTCCTCATCTGCATTTCTTTACTGAATTTTTGGGAACTGCTTTTCACTGCTGCTCTCAATCTGTTCTTTATTGCAATGTCAGAAATATAGTTTTAGGGCAAGATTTAGTATAAAAGTGAAGATGTTCCTCAGGATATTGGTCTTAAAACAAAATGTTCAATCAGACCAGAACTTCAACGGGACAATTACGATTATCGTTACGGTGACTTGATAAGCATAAAGACTCACTGTGAGCATGCCCAGAAAATCCATCGGCCTGCTCATATAAATGACTAACTTCTTTGATTTCCAGAGCTGAAGTGACGCCAAATACATATCAACCTTGAAAAATGTAGAGTTGGATACAGAACTCTAATTTTCTCATCATTTGTCTTCAGTGTGATTGTTCGATGAATTTGGTTTGGAGAGGAATGAATAAATGTCAGTTATCGTAGCAACACAGCATACTTCTGAGATTGAGTTTGGCTGATCTGATTATCTAAACCACAAATTGAGCTGATATTGAATGACTTTACCAAATAAAAAGTGTTTTAAAAGTGTATTAAGTTACATAATGAAATATAAGCATGCACAATTAATTTCATCCCTTTTTAATCATGAACAAATGTTAGATAAATAATAATGAAAAATATAATTTTATAATGAATGAACGTTTCATGATATTTCAGAAAGTTTGAATGCACATAAACATATGCAAGCATTGTGTATAGTGATGTTTGTGTAAAATTTTAATAAAAGTTATTGAAGTTATTAATATATGTATATATATATATATATATATATGTGTGTGTGTGTGTGTGTGTGTGTAATTACCTTTTAATTCAATTTTAATATGTTGTTTTTTACATTATATTATATATAAAATTATATATAGTATATAATTTTCTCCGTTTGTATTTATTTTTATTTTTATTTTTTTATTTACTTTCTAATTGAATGCTGTTCTTTTTAAATTCAGAGTTCTGGCATGAAACTCTAGATGGCGCAGTCCGATAGGTTTAACTCAATCTGACCTAATGACATCATTATCACATGGCACAGCTGATTGGTTCTCTCCTGTATCGGTAGCCAATGAGCTCGCTGCTCAACATTCAAATAAATGACTAGTGCTTGCAGTAGCAGTTGCAGCTTGCTTCAGAAGCCCTCCACCTTCCCCAGCTCCACCTGTATAGATCTGCTACGAGGTGATAGATCTGTTCCGCCAAGACCAAATACATTAACATTGTCATCTACATTACCATGCCAGAGTTGTAATGACAGAACTGTTTTTTTGTTTTTTTTTGGCCATGTGTGTGGTTCTCCAGATGGCCGAGTGTGTGAATCGAGACCTCAGGTGTGCGGTTCGGGGCGCTGTATTGACCTGCTAGGCGGTCGACACACGTGTGTGTGTAACACTGGATATATCCTCAACCCTCAGCAAGGCCACTGCCAAGGTATGAGCCTGTGAGTTACTGCATGACTTTAAAGATGAGAAATAAGCAACACTTCAGACTTCCACTCTAAAGAAGAAAAATATATAAGGTAACATATCTATGTAGCCTACTTCCTAAAAAGGGTTGTAAATATTCAGTCAGGTTCAGTCACGATCCTTCCACACCACCAAATTGCCTGCCATTTGTCTATGGCGCATTTTAGATTGTTTTACGTGACTCACCAGTATTTGGCATTGTAGAAGGATTCCTCTTTTTCTCATTGGTTCTTCGAGGCTTTTAAAGGTCAAAGGTCAGGGTGACATTGCTAAGAGGACAGCTAGCTCATTTATCATCTCTGATTTTCAGTGCTGTATCTGTGTGAATTTGTTTTATGCACGTGCATGACTTTATAATGTGTTACTTGCAACAGTAAAAGTCACTTACATTGAGGAAAAGCATGAGCAAATTATCTAAATATATTTTATAAAGGAGCCAGAAATATTAGTAGTATCACGATAAGGATTATTATTGTTAACTAAACCCATGAAAAGTTAACTGAAAATATATAAAAAATAAATAAATAAAGTTACATCATTTGAAAATGTGTTACTTGAAGAAAAAAAATATTACAAAAAATGTAACTTATTTTATTTAAGCTAGTTGCCAAGGCGATCACATTTTTAAGTACTAAAATATCGAAAATAAATTAAAATTAATAAATAAAAACTATGTAAACATTAAAAAACGAATTAAAACATAGAAAAATATCAAATTAAAACTTTACCTAAAATTAACATGAAAACATAAATTACAAAAATAAAACCTAATTTAAAATGTTAGCAGAAATATAGTATATTAGTACATCAATTATATAAAAATAACACTGTCCGCGATACTCAGAAGAGTCAGAAGAAATCAATGATCAAACCATCTTATCTTTGTCTCTCTCTTTCTCTCTCTCACACACACACACACACACACACACGTGCACACACACACACACGCATACACACGCACACACACGCACATACACACGCACACACACGCACATACACACGCACACACACGCACATACACACGCACACACACGCACATACACACGCACACACACGCACATACACACGCACACACACGCACATACACACGCACACACACGCACATACACACGCACACACACGCACATACACACGCACACACACGCACATACACACGCACACACACGCACATACACACGCACACACACGCACATACACACGCACACACACGCACATACACACGCACACACACGCACATACACACGCACACACACGCACATACACACGCACACACACGCACATACACACGCACACACACGCACATACACACGCACACACACGCACATACACACGCACACACACGCACATACACACGCACACACACGCACATACACACGCACACACACGCACATACACACGCACACACACGCACATACACACGCACACACACGCACATACACACGCACACACACGCACATACACACGCACACACACGCACATACACACGCACACACACGCACATACACACGCACACACACGCACATACACACGCACACACACGCACATACACACGCACACACACGCACATACACACGCACACACACGCACATACACACGCACACACACGCACATACACACGCACACACACGCACATACACACGCACACACACGCACATACACACGCACACACACGCACATACACACGCACACACACGCACATACACACGCACACACACGCACATACACACGCACACACACGCACATACACACGCACACACACGCACATACACACGCACACACACGCACATACACACGCACACACACGCACATACACACGCACACACACGCACATACACACGCACACACACGCACATACACACGCACACACACGCACATACACACGCACACACACGCACATACACACGCACACACACGCACATACACACGCACACACACGCACATACACACGCACACACACGCACATACACACGCACACACACGCACATACACACGCACACACACGCACATACACACGCACACACACGCACATACACACGCACACACACACGCATACACACACACGCACATACACACGCACACACACACACACACACGCATACACACGCACACACACACACACACACACGCACATTCAGACATAAACGAGTGTCTGCTGACACCCCGGCCGTGTTCTGTGGGTCAGTGTGAGAATACAGCGGGCAGCTTCCGGTGCGTTTGTCCATCAGGATACCAGACCAACTTCCAGCAGACCCTGTGTGTCGGTCAGAAACATCTCATTCTCTCAGTGCGCTGGATAAACACGTCCTAATAGCTTGTTTGTAGAATGCTGTGCATGCAATCATTGATGAGATCGATGGGTTCCACAGATTTGGATGAGTGCCGTCAGGTGCCCAATCCCTGTGTTAACGGCCGCTGTGAAAACACACTGGGCAGCTTCAGGTGTTTGTGCAGGACTGGATACAAGCTACAGGACAACAGCTGCATAGGTAATTCAAATCATTTTACCCATAACGCTTGCTCAATTTGCTTTGCACTTTATTTTAGTGATAAAACATTTTTATTTTATTTAGTTTTGTTTTGTTTTGTCCAAATGCTTTCCATCATGACTTTATATAGTATCCAATATTTTAAGACATTTATTACCATTCAAAAATTTGGGGTCAGTAAGATTTTTTTCTTATAAGGAAATAAATACTTTTATTCAATAAGGAGACATACAATTGATCAAACATAAAAAAAAAATGCTGTTGCAAAGCGAAAATGCGTTTGAACCTTCGATTTATCAAATAATCTTGAAATACATCTATCACGGTTTCCACAGAAATATTGTGCAGAAAACTGTTTCCAACATTGCTAATAATCAGAAATGTTTCTTGAGCAGCAAATCAGCATATTAGAATGATTTCTGAAGATCATGTGACACTGAAGACTGGAGTAATGATGCTGAAAATTCAGCTTTGCATCACAACAATAAATTACAGTTTAACAGATATTCACATAGAAAACAGCTGTTTTACATTGTAATAATATTTCACAATTTTGACTGTATTTTTTAATCAAAGAAATGCAGCCTTGGTGAGCAGAAGAGACTTCTTTCAAATACATTAAAAGCTCTTACTGAGCCCAAACATTGTATTGTACTGTACAATTGTATTGTACAAATGTACTGCATGATAGGAATGAATCATATGTTTTCCGTCTCCAAAAACAGTGTTTGTTATGTTTATTAAACTGTGAATTGAAATCATGTGGTGTTTTGTGCTCCTAGACATAGATGAGTGTGTCGACCCCCTGCGCTGTCCGGGTCAGGAGTGCGTGAACTCTCAGGGCTCTTACAGGTGTGTCTCCTGCAAGCCGGGCTTTGATCTGCTCAACGGACAATGTTCAGGTAACACACTGCACACAAATATCTGCGGATTGACTGTAAATATTTATTTTACTGCACACTAATCTGTATTAGTCTGCTGTAAAAGGGCCCTGTTTTGTTGTGAAAAAGAGCCACACTTTTAAAAAGAGTGAATAAATAATTAAGTGTGAACTAAATGTAATGTTTTCAGACACTTAATTGCATGTCATTTATAATTAAGTATTCGTTTAAATTTAGAAATAAATACAATTAATTTAACACAATTAATTGTGCTTTTTTTTTTTTTACTTTTTTTATATGTAATTTCATAATTACTTCTGTTGTCTTTGAAATATGGTTAAAGTTACTGCTGAATGTACTGACAAGCATTTATGACCAACTAAAATTTACTTTAATATATTTAGTCATTTAATGTCATAATGATGAAGTTAGACATAGGCCAAGTTGTTGCTTAATTTCGGTCAATATATTTATATTTTTGGGGGCTTTTTTTTAACTCCGTTTCACCATAAACAAAAGCTAAATTAGTTATATTATGGTAGTAATAATAGTAGAAGTAGTAGAAGTAGATCTTTCACTTGAGATAAAACTAAAAACATTCTGTTAGTCAATGTTTAATTTAGTTTACTTAATAAAAATAAAGAGAGCTTCAAAAAATTTACTGTTTATTCTCATATTCTTTGTAAATACTGTATGCATATTTTCTGTTATGTACTACAAAAAAAAAAGAAGATATTTAGTACATTAGCCCCCAGTTTCACAGACAAGGCTTAAGCCTAGTCCCAGACTAAAATGTAAGTCTGAGCTGTTTCAACTGAAAGAAACTTGCACTGACTGAACTTAAAATATATCAGTGCCTTTGTTTTGGCTCAAGATGCGCACTAGTAATGTGTTTTCTAAAGCACGTTTATGAAAAATTACTTAAATGTCCTAATTGAACTATGGCCTAATCCTGGCTTTAGTCTAAACCCTGTCTGTGAAACCAGGCCTTAAAATACATATAATATTAAATAACACACTACAGTTAAAATTATAATCTGGTATTTTACACATGCTTTCAAAGCACCACAAAAAACTAAACAATTAAAATGCACTTTAAAGTAAAACTTGACGTGATTACGAAGTGCACTTTTTAAGAGTCTACTTGTTTAAGAGTCTAATAGTGTTAAGAAACAAAGTCATGAAAGTGTCTCTCTTTAAGTCCACTTAAGTGGCCTTCATTAATATCATATTATCCTCAAGCACAGTTTTTAAAATATACTTTTCCGATGTACTTTTCCAAGGGTTTATAAGAGTAAAGCTGAGCCTTTCAGGGTAAAATCAGTGGTTCTCTTCTTCAGATATTGATGAATGTCGTCGGACGCCGTCACCCTGTTCGGACGCGGGCCGCTGTGAAAACACTCCCGGCAGCTTCAGATGCTCGTGTCGAACGGGATACAGATCCCAGGCCAACGCCTGCGTGGGTAAGAAGTGTTAAAGTCACTTCAGTCTAAATGAACCTAGTGAAAAATAAATATACTTAAATGCATTTGAAACATTTATTTCATGCTACGTATACTACAAATACATGTTCATATTTATGTACTTAATAAAATACCCTGCAATTGTACTTCTAGTACACCAAACTGGTATACTTAAAGTCTGCTAAATTGGAACAACTAATTTTGTACTTAATGCACTGTAATTGTGCTGAAGTCCAATTAAATATGTGACCCTGGAGCACAAAAGCAGTCTTAAGTCGCTGGGGTATATTTGTAGCAATAGCCAACAATACATTGTATGGGTCAAAATTTAGTATATTTGATTGTGCTAAAGTGGAACTATTGCAAGTATACTTCAGTTACACTTTAAATATTTTGCATTTAAACACCGATATTATTCAAAGATCATACAGTCCTCATCAAAAGTGACATTAAAACACATTTGCACAGACTTACAGTATTTTTTTGAACTGCTTACACACATTTTCCAAACTTTCCCTTTTTTTTCCAAACTTTACACACAAATCCAAGAACTGCACACACAAAATGCAAAATGCCTCACATCTCTTGCAAAATGGAGCACTGCATTCAAAATATCACAAGCACATCTCAAAAGCAAACATTTGCAAACACCTTTGCCATAATATTGATTCCTGTTAGATTTTTGAGAATTGTGTGTTGTGTTTTGCAAAAATTGTTTTATGAAATTGAGTCAAAAGCTGAGAATTAGTATATGGTTTTGCAGATTTGGTGTGTGCTTCTGGTGTTTGAGTGTCAGCTTTCAGAAATTGTGTGACAAGTAAAGATTTAGTGTGTAAGCAGTTGAAATTGTAATATTAAGAAATGTGCATTGTGCATGAGTAGTACGCCAAATAAAGTTTAATTATAATTTTAATATCAGTCTCAAGTTATCTGTCAGTAAATGTTAAAAGATTTGAACTATACTTAGTATAAAATAAATGTATTTTAAGTACATTACTTTTTTACTAGGGTATATAGGTTTAGATGAGAAATATGAGTGTGTTCCCGTGTGCATGGATGATGTGCGTGATGTTCCAGATGTGAATGAGTGTGAAGATCCGCTGCAGTGTCCCGGACAGGAGTGTGTGAACTCTCAGGGATCGTATCGCTGTGTGTCATGCAGACCCGGATTTAGCCTTAAAAACCGAGCATGTTCAGGTAAATACAACACATCTGGACTCACATTTAACCATGAATGGACCATTATGATTGTAAACCTGGCCAAGCCCTTTATAACAAACAAATGAAGCGATTATACTGCAGGAAAAATCACATGGAGAAAAAAATAAATAATAAATACTTTGGACCAACTTAAAGAAGACCGCTAAATGTATTAGTTTTTCTCCAGTTATATTTATGGTTTGTTCAAATTTTGATGTAATTAAAAAAAAAATTGTATATATATATATATATATATA